TATGGTGGAATAATAAGTTAGCAAATTTGTTAAACATGAACGGCCATTTGTAAAACCATGTTGCAACTCATTTATTAATTGATGTTTTTCAAGATGGAGACGAATTGTATTTCCAATCATTGATTCAAGTAACTTTCTCACAATAGACGTTATGCTAATTGGCCGATAGTTTGACGCAAGTGATCTATCTCCTTTCTTAAAAATTTGTACCACATTAGCTACCTTCCATGACTTTGGCACTCTGCCTGACTCTATTGATTTATTAAATATGGTAGACAGTGGCTCGGAAAGCTCCTCTTTGCATTCTTTAAGCACCCTGGTAAACACTTCATCCGGCCCTGGGGATTTGTTTGGTTTTAGTTTTTCTAATTGTTTAATTACATCCTCCCTGGTTGACTAAACTAGTCAACCTGTCCTCATCCCCACCCACATAGACTTGTTCGGCTGAAGGCATATTGTTAAGTTCTTCTTTAGTAAATACAGATATAAAATATTTGTTAAAAATACTACTCATCTCCTTGTCATTATCCGTTATATGACCTGTCTCAAATTTTAATGGACCTATCCTTTCCCTAGTCTTAATTCGATATAACTGAAAAAAAACCTTTAGGATTTGACTTTGCTTGCTCTGCTATGCGAACTTCATAGTTTCTTTTTGCTTTCCTAATCTCTTTTTTAACATTTCTAACCAGTTGTATGAATTCCTGTTCTAAACTGACTTCCCCATTCTTAATCCTTTTGTACTAAGCTCTCTTTTTACCTATAAGGTTCTTTAAATTATTTGTTATCCACTTTGGGTCATTAGTATTCGATCTATTCAATTTGTATGGTATACTACGTTCCTGTACTTTGTTTAGAATATTCTTAAATAAGTTATATATTAAATCCACATCGAAATCCCCTTTTACATCACCTATCGCTGGGTTCATGTCTCGCTCAAAGACCGGCCCACACCCCATACCCAAGACTTTCCAATCTATTTGACCCAAAAAATTTCTTAGGCTATTAAAATCAGCTTTTCGAAAATCTGGCACCTTAACAGAATTTTCTCCTACAGGTCTATTCCATTCTATGCTAAATCTGATTATTTTGTGATCACTGTTCCCTAGCTCATTCCCTATTTCGATGTCATTAATTTGTGTTTCCCTGTTAGTTAACACTAAATCTAAAATATTATTTTCCCGCGTTGGTTCCTTAATGTGTTGCGTAAGAAAGCAATCGTCAATTAATTCTAGAAAATCTTCTGCTTCACTATTCCCTGTTTTGTTCACCCAGTTTATGCCACTAAAATTAAAGTCACCCATGACATAAATACTGTTAGATCTAGATGCTCTAGATATTGCTCTAGTGGCGATGCTATCTTGGCAGTAACGATGCTGTCCTATTCGTGACACTGATGTCCTTTACAGAGGTGACACTGATGTCCTTGACAGAGGTGACACTGTCCTTGGTAATAGGATGTGACCAAAACTATGCCGTCAATCTCCTGCTTCTTGTGACTCAAGTAAACTTCACCACACGAGCAAGGAAACACACACACACTTTACGATTTAAGAATATTCAACACATTATAAATATTTACAAGACGCTAACGTAGCGCCCGAAGACAATAACGTTTGTATTCAATTAATTCTAATCCAGCAGAACATATATATACAGATTCTTGAGACACTGTTGGAGATAAATACATGTTTACATTGTGGAAACTGTTAAACTTTATATACAAAGAATATAAAAATGGTGTCTATGACCTGTTTAGTAAACTGATGTTGACCAGACCACACACACTAGAAGGTGAAGGGACGACGACGTTTCGGTCCGTCCTGGACCATTCTCAAGTCGATTCAGGATTTGAGAATGGCCCAGGACGGACCGAAACGTCGTCGTCCCTTCACCTTCTAGTGTGTGGTCTGGTCAACATACTTTAGCCACGTTATTGTGACTCATCGCCAAGTAAACTGATGTTGTAACTTACTGAAATATTTGCCTACAACTCCCCAGTGTTGAACTAGCGCCATTTGAAGACACGGGAAGTGCTGTTCTAGCCATAATTACATTTTCTTCTGCTATTGTTATAGATATTCTAAGGCCAAGAGACCGCGTAGTCTTACGAGTTATTGTTGTTTTAGATTCAGCTACTGGGAACAAAAAGTTGTAAGTAGCACGGGCTATGGTGAGCCCGTAGTGGCCTTACCCGGCACACAGGATGTGACTGGTGTTCGTATGAGAATAGATCATGCAGAGGTGATGATTACGTCCGCCATGGTCACCAGGCGGCGAGTCACCGTGAGGGTGGTCCCTTCCTGTGCTTCTTACCCTTGTCCAGCCCCCCGTTGGGACTCCGGATAGCGTCGTATAATCATCGTTCAGCCCCCCCGTTGGGACTCCGGATAGCGTCGTATAATCATCGTTCAGCCCCCTGTTGGGACTCCGTATAGCGTCGTATAATCATCGTTCAGCCCCCCGTTGGGACTCCGTATAGCGTCGTACAATCCATCGTCCAGACCCCCCGTTGGGACTCCGTATAGCGTCGTATAATCATCGTTCAGCCCCCCCGTTGGGACTCCGTATAGCGTCGTATAATCATCGTTCAGCAACCCCGTTGGGACTCCGTATAGCGTCGTACAATCCATCGTCCAGACCCCCCGTTGGGACTCCGTCTAGCGTCGTACAATCATGGCCGGTGTCGGGGACTGCTTCGCACACTCCTGCCTTGGGTGCTCATGCTAGGGGACACCATCGGGTACGGTGACTGCATGTTTTCTTGACACTATTATCCGGCTGGAACAATAGTTCGACCAGTTACCTCCGGTTAATGATATATTAAGAACATACTCCGGTTAAGGGCCCCATTCAAATGGTGCAATTCGGTTATGTTCATACTTTAGAATTCCATTCTAAAGTGGGACCAGTTAGGCGAGATTATTTTAACTTGTAAGATAATCACAAGGGATTGACGCCTCGCTGGAGCTGCATACTCTAATACTGGTCTAACATACGTTGTGACAATTATCATGCCTTTGTTGGCTGTCCTGCAGATTAGTGCTATGTTTGTCAATATGACATACAACTCTATTGTTTAAGGTGTTTAAGGAAGCTCTTAACATGAGGCTCGGTGTAATGTCTATCCTAATGTATCCTTAGTCTTCTCCACTGACGCTGGGGATCCACCCTTCCATCTCCTTCTTAATTATTAATTACTGCGGAAGAACTGTAGTAATTTAATGGCACTTCTTTCCTGCAACTTTTTTGACAAATTTGCAGTTTTCTTCAGTCCCTCTGCTATAACGAGTCACATTTCCCAGTCTCTGCTAGCCCAGACAAAGGAACCTATCTCTGTAGGTCGGGAAACCAACACAAGCCGTCCACGATGTCTATGGGAGGAAAACACTGCCAGGCAGGATATCTTGGTGATCAGGTCCAAGGACACTCTGGAGTACACCGCTGGCAGCCCCTCCCTCGCTCACCTTGAATTTGTCCGGCTTGGAACTTCAGTGTTCTCTCTTCTGCTGCCTGGGTGTGGGGGAGACGGCGCTCGTAGTACTGGTATAGCCCCGAGTGGGAGATGTGGTGCTGGTATAGCACCGAGTGGGAGATGTGGTGCTGGTATAGCACCGAGTGGGAGATGTGGTGCTGGTATACTTGTATACAAGCATTATACCCACAATTGTATCCACAATAGGGACATTGTCATTCAAGAAAATAATGTATTTATGGTGAGTTACAGTGTCACAGGAGTCAATAGGCCTGCTACAGTGTCACAGGGGGTGAGTAGGCCTGCTACAGTGTCACAGGGGGTCAGTAGGCCTGCTACAGTGTCACAGGGGGTGAGTAGGCCTGCTACAGTGTCACAGGGGGTCAGTAGGCCTGCTACAGTGTCACAGGGGGTGAGTAGGTCTGCTACAGTGTCACAGGGGGTCAGTAGGCCTGCTACAGTGTCATAGGGGGTCAGTAGGCCTGCTACAGTGTCACAGGGGGGTCAGTAGCCCAGCTACAGTGTCACAGGGGGTCAGTAAGCCTGTTACAGTGTCACAGTGGGGTCAATAGGAATGATACAGTGTCACAGTGGGGTCAATAGGAATGATACAGTGTCACAGTGGGGTCAATAGGAATGATACAGTGTCACAGGGAGTCAGTAGGCCTGTTACAGTGTCACAGGGAATCACCTGGTTGTTAAACGATTGGTGGGGCGTGTTCAGGGAACACTAGCGGGGCAAGGTTTACCATGCGCCATGGGAAGGGAAAGCCCTCAGCCCGCTAACAGGAGTCAGCAGTCGGCTGATCCTGTACTCACCTGTGTAAAACAAAAGAGTTTAAACAAATATCCAGAAGACTGTTGATAAACACTTGAGGTCGGACGAAACAAGAGACTGATTTTTAGATAATAACAACGCAAGTAGGAATGATCGTCTGGATACTCGGTATTATAATTAAATTGTTCCAGAGCCATTTCTACCGAGCAGTTGGGAGGGAGCTTAGGGAGTCGCCGTGTGTGTTGGCTGTATGATGAGAATGATCACTAGATCATGTGCAATGTACACATAAGTTACATACGGATACATACTAGCAAGCTTGTTTCCAGATATATTTGTACAAATATATTACGAATTAAATCTGTCGTGTTTTTTTTTTCCCAAACAATAAAACGGTGAACAAATATAATATACGAATGATTGCCTGACAACTTCACGTATAAATTAAGGCTAATTCCAACATTTATCTCCGATACAACATCGCTCGATTTCGTCCAAGCATTTTGTGACATTACTTTATATATAAGCATTCATGTCTCCACAAAATCTGCTTATTGTAATGTCACAATAATACAATTAATCTACTAATTCAACAAGCACTATTTCTAAAAACAGATGTGAGCAAAAAGCAATGCACCCACCAACAGAAAGAAATGCAGGCAGCAACAGGATGCGGTGGTCGACTGTTGAGACCGGCTTGTCATCAAGGCGACGCCTCCAGAAGCTTACAATAATAATAACACATATTATTCTAGCGATAAAGCAGGCGATCTTGTGGTATATATATATAGGACCCGGCCACTACTGCTACATGCATTCTCCAGCCGCTTCTCTTGTGGTGTTCATCTCTGTACAAGCCAGTTCTCTCCCTTGGTAAGTCTGTCAGTGATGTTCAGCTGTTCCTTAGCATTAAGCTTCTGTCTTAGAGAAATAATCTTCTGCCACAGGTGAGCTCTGCAGGTAACTTCTACATCTGAGGATAACAAGTTTTCATGCAAGTAAACATTGATTCTACAGGTGCGTCATGTCATTAACAGGTGCTGAACCTGTAAGTATTCCTGTGTGTTGTGACACACTGAAGGCGCGTTCCTGGGCTTCTCTCACGACAGAATCAATATAATGTACCAAATCGCTCACAATATGCAGGAAAACTAATATTATGACAAAGTTTTGTACTTTATTGAGGAGCTTTTGTGTGGGTTAATAGGCTATGTGTATTTAGTCTTATTCATATTTATGTATAAATTTATTTAATCAGTGGAAATTGACAATAATATAATTTACTTTCAACATTAACTAAAACAAGAGACAAATGAGTGCAAATCTATTCTCTTAGTCACAAAACTTAACTGGTTTCCGATTGTCTGGAACATGAAGCCTGTTCGGGTTGTCGAGGTGCCAACGACTAGTGCCATAGCACTAGTCTTGGGCCAACGACTGACATTATACAGGATGCAACCCACAACAGTCAACTAACTCTCAGCGACTTGTTAATTGCTTGGTAAAACAAAGACACCAGGTTCCCTACAGAGGTCTGTAGGTCACGTATCCCCACACCTATCCTAGGTGTGGGGATACGTGCCCAAACGTTTAGCTCGGGTATTTAATTCTGAGCAAATCGATTGTTCAATTAGTAGTCCCTGTGGTGCAGTGGTAAAGCACTCGTCTGGTGCTTCGCTTTGAGAGCTTTGTCCTGGGTTCGTATTCTGACCGGGGAGGATTGCCTAGGTGCCAATTCTTAACTACAGCCTCTGTTCACCCATCAGTGAATGGGTATCTGGTTGTTAAACGATTTGGCGAGTCGTTTTCCGGGGAAAAAATAGGGTTAAGGACCTGCCCGAAACTCAATGCGTGCTATAGTGTCTTTACAAAAATGTAAGAACTCTTGTATATATTAATGAAAAAATAAGTTGTGCGACGACTGCGCCAAATATTTTAAATATTACCCAAATAGCACCCAAAATATTATTAATGGGACCCAAAATATTACACTGTACCTGGTGGATACCAACGGGTCGTGTCGCTTTTGTAAACTTGATGAATAATACAAACTGTTAATAATGCAGAAGATGAACATCTATCCGCTGTGCTACTTGGCCTCCCTACGTGATCAGAGGAATGTAAAAGGCTACATCTGAAGGTCTTATCTCAGCCTTCCATGACACCATCACCAGCCAGTCTTTTCTAAACTGAAAACTTATTCCAGAGACCAAAGTTCCGCGGGAACACCACAAGTCAAATTGGGGATTGTATAACCCGCATATTTCGTGTTTTGGGAACCCAAATGTGTTAGTCTGAGCAGTAAGGATGTTACAGTTATGAGGATCGTGTACAGTGAAAATTTATATTTAGTGAAATTGTGTTTGAAGTATACTGTTTGTGAACATGTGTGCCCTTTTGTGCTGATCATGTGGGCCCTTCAATATCCATGGATGTGATGTACAACAGACTTGTCTCCTGCGTTGCAATAGTTCTGCAATATTTGCACTGAAATATCCAATCAATTTTTCATTGTGACCTTCTGTCACCTGTATAAATGTATTCAAATTTATGTTACCACGACACGATATTGTTACTTAACTTCACCACACTAACTCATCGCTGCTCCTCCAACAGCTGCATCATGAAGCTGATGACATCTGTGTTAGTGACGGTGGTCCTGACCTTGCTGGTCGCCGGGACCTCTACCGCTGCCCCTGGAGACTTCCCCTTCGAGAGGTGCTTCAGTGGAACTCAAAAACAAGACCTCCGTAAGTTGATATTACATAGGAGGAAAAATTTAGCTAGCGGGTTAGCGGCTTTGCTTGAACGTAAATCAGTACGAACACTGTTGTGTGACTCGTTGTTACTGTGTAAATGTTTACAAAGGAAAATATAGTTGTCATGTAGAAAGCTTTAGCGAGAGAAGCTTGAGAATGCAGCGAGTGTGAGTGACATTTGGTAGTATAAAGTTGTCTTGCAGGAAATGTAAATGGAAGCATCACTAAGACACATCTTTATAATTTGATGAGGTGAAGAGCGCCTTCGTCCAGGTCTGATCTCGTCGGCTGCTGCTCGTATTTATACAGCATGACGAGTGGTGTAGTACAGAGGCTCTTGCATCAGGGTGTAGAGGCACTTAGGGTTGGATCAGGTAGATCAGGCTCTTTGATCAGATCAGGGTGTAGAGGCTCTTTGATCAGGGTGTAGAGGCTCTTAGATCAGGGTGTAGAGGCACTTAGATCAGGTATAGAGGCTCTTAGATCAGGGTGTAGAGGCTCTTTGATCAGGGTGTAGAGGCTCTTAGATCAGGGTGTAGAGGGATCAGGGTGTTGAGGCTCTTAGATCAGGGTGTAGAGGCTCTTAGATCAGGGTGTAGAGGCTCAGGGTGTAGATCAGGGTGTAGAGGCTCTTTGATCAGGGTGTAGAGGCTCTTAGATCAGGGTGTAGAGGCACTTAGATCAGGGTGTAGAGGCACTTAGATCAGGGTGTAGAGGCACTTAGATCAGGGTGTAGAGGCACTTAGATCAGGGTGTAGAGGCACTTAGATCAGGGTGTAGAGGCACTCAGATCAGGGTGTAGAGGCACTTAGATCAGGGTGTAGAGGCACTCAGATCAGGGTGTAGAGGCACTCAGATCAGGGTGTAGAAGCACTTAACCCGCCAAACACACGACTAAACTACGAAGTTGCTGCAACGGTCGAACAAGTTATAACAACTTTCTAACACGTCATAAAAATTTTATAACAACACGTAACAACTTTGTTACAAGTTGTCAGAAGGGAACAATAGGGACCGTTCCGTTGAGTGTTTGCAGGGATAGATCAGGGCCACCTTGAGGTTAACCAAAGAGGCCTCCAGGTAGACTGGACGGAGAGACCGTAGGACGTCGCTGTACACAGTCTGACGTATGTGTTACAGTCGGCCTGCTCAGGTACCCTTCTTTCGTGAGAGGATTTTCGGGGCTTAGCGTCCCCGCGGTTCGGTCCTCGACCAGGCCTTCCTTTTGTTACACATCCCCAGGAAGCAGCCCCTAACAGCTGTCTAACTCACAGGTACCTATTTACCGCTAGCTGAACAGACGCATCAGGGTGAAAGAAACTTTGCCCATTTTTGTTTCCGCCTCCACCGGTGACCGAACCCGGAACCTCAGGACTACGAATCCGAAGCGCTATCCACTCAGCTGTCAAGTGCCAGGAGGTCTGTTAAAAATGCCCATTATATTAATGAGAAATTCCCCGTTGCGGGAGCACTGTACCTGCTGATATTGTTTAAGATGCAGCTACTGGGAACAAAACGTTCCAAGTAGCACGGGCTATGGTGAGCCCGCAGTGGACTTACCTGGCACAGGAGCGGGACTGTTAATTTTTTGGCACGCTGTTCCTGCTGATGTAGCCTCAATATATATTTTCTTTTCCTCCCTACAGACATGAAGCTCTGCACTGAAGTGGGAATGACTGATGCCTTTTGCAAGGCTAATAAGGCAATAATTAAGACCTGCAAGGATCAAATCCTGAGCGCCAGTCACACCCGGCCCACCATTCAAGCCGCCGCCGACTGTCTGCACACAGTGGGAGATATTACCGTCCCAGATGACGACACAGGTGAGTGCCAGCATGCTGTCCACTCGTGGGCCCTCAAGCTGTTAAAGCTTAGTCACGTTATCTTAATGCTTGGCCTTAGGTGCTCCTTCGCACTGTCTCTGGGTTACGTCGTCTTGGATATATTGCCTCGTACAAAGTGTTCTTTTTTTGCGTCGTGGATCAGCCCACCTAGGTAGAATCAATTCTAGAATGCCCCACACAGGGACACAACTCGTGTTATATTGTATGGTCAATAGTAATAAGGTGATGATGGTCATAAATACCCAACAGTCCCCCCTAACTGACAATCAAGTTCCCCAAACCAGACAAGTAACCGGTTTCTTCTTTTCACAGCTACCACCCAACGTTTCAAGCAGTACATGAAAAAAGCCGTGTTCAACAATCAGGATTTGTGCTCCGCCGCTCAAGAAATGATAGCCTGCTTGAAGCAAAATACAGAAATGGTGAGTCCTTTTGGGGCTTTATTGAACGAGCGGGCTTGTGTGTGTGTGTTTGTATTTGTGTGTATTTTCCATTCGTGTCTGCAAAATAGAGCTATTTTGTTGTATTATGATATATCTCTTGGACCCCGCCTTTCTAATCAATATATTTTTCCTCTATTATATCTACTACATATAATTCTCTCTAACACACGCACACACACACATCCCCAAGCAGCAGCCCGTAGAAGCTGTCTAACTTCCTGGTACCTATTTACTGCATGGAGAACAGGGACAAGAGGGCGAAAGAAACTCTGCTCATTTGTTTCAGTCTCCGCCGGGAATCGAACCCGAGCCATTAGGACTACGATCCCCGAGCGCTGTCCACTCAGCCGCGAGGCCTCTCCACTATGTGTGTGTGTGTGTGTCATTCAATTTGTCTGCAAGATTTGAGATTCGGGTTAAATATGACACGAGTCTAGTTTGTAGAGGTTGACAGGAAAATAAGTGGATTTGTTCTTATGTAAACTCACTAACTAACCTGTTCTTATATGTCCGACGATCAGTTTGGTGTTAAAAGCAACAAACAATTTCCAGTAGTTGTTTTTGCTTAATCCAGTAATTCATATTTATCACTTATAGGTTCAGCTGATGAAGGACTGCATTGCAAAAGCTGGCAAATAAATGCCCCACCGAGACGTCCAATACCACAGAGAGATCTCGAACACCACAGACATGTCCAACTCCAGAAAGTCGTCAAACACCACAGAGACGTCTGAAGAGCATCATAACTCGTTGTAGAACTTCTGAAGAAAACTTAAGAATTTCCCGACTACCTTTCCTGAATTACCGGAGAAAACAAATAATTTTGAGTTCGACAAAATAGAAATGAACAGTGAGAATAACGCCTTCAGAACAACACCAACAGCCATGGTAACACCACCAACAACAATGACATCAACACCATGCTGGGCCGGAGGCTACTATATCTGCTGCATATATTTCTCTTTTAAAATTACATTACTTTAAACAAAATTTGAAATATGTAATTCATGTATCCAATTTACTTGTGTTTTTGATTAAATAAATTAATTGGCAAGTTCGGGTTTTTTCTACATTCACCGTTCAAAAATATCCTCAATTCCCTAAATTCACTGTGAATAATGAACTGTAGATAACAAAATATATTAAAGAATAAGAATACGATGAGTTTAATTTTGTGTGAATCTCAGAACAAATTTGTCTAATAAGCAAATAGTTTATTCTATTAAATAAATTGTTTGATGTGACTGAGTCTGGAAAATGGCTGGTCTGTTATCATTTGATCTATATTCGCAAAAGAAAGAAGACAATTAGATTTTCTTAAGAATAGCAAATATATTTAAGTAATAGCAATCATAAGTGCTTTACTATATCTTAAATATTTATTCAAATTTATAACATTTTATCTTTTGGTGACCAGGAAGATACATGGCGATAGTTTCTTATCTCTCTTCCTCTTTGTTCCTCTCTTTATTCCTCTCTTTTCATCTTCTTACTGCAGACGATGGTGTGCTGAGAACAGAGGAAGGGAAAACTTTGGCCCAAGATGAGTGGTGAGACACGAAGGAACTAACACACAGGAGAAGGAAGAATCAAATAAAAGTAGGAAGAAAGTACGAAAATACTTGAGAGATGACTGCAGGCAAAAGAGAAAACAAATGAAAAATTACAAACTCGGAACCTGATAGAAATTCTTGGAAAAAAAACATATCTGACAAGACTGTAACAGGAGACGGAAGAAGTCGATTTATACTGATTGTAGCTGGAGAACTGTGAGCAGTTTACCACAGTTGGTGACACGAGGCAAGGTCTACCACAGTGCGGAGACGAGCCAGAGTCTACCACAGTGGGGAGACGAGAGCAAGGATCTACCACAGTGCGGAGACGAGCCAAAGTCTACCACAGTGGGGAGATGGCCTTCTACATGTCACAGGGGGGGCTCAGTAAGCCTGCCACAGTGTCACAGGGGAGTCAATAGGCCTGCTAGAGTGTCACAGGGGATCAGTTGGCCTGTTACAGTGTTACAGGGGGTCAATAGGCCTGTTACAGTGTTACAGTAGGTCATTAGGACTGCTACAGTGTCACAGGAGGTCAGTATTCTGACACTTAAGCTCACCATACCACACTTTTCGCTCCCCCAGCTTGGTGCCTTCTTTTGATGATTACTTTCGCTCATCACAGGTCAAACGTCCATTGGTGGCGCACTGTTAACCGCCCCGCGTCTCGCGACCGACGTATCTAGTTCGAGTCCTGGCCAAGGTAGATTATTTGGACGTCAATACTTAACTTTTAGCGTCTGTTCACCCAGCAGTAAATGAATATCTGGTTGTTAACCAATTAGTGGGTGGTGTTCCAGGGAACACTACGGGGCAAGACTTACCATGCGCCATGGGAAGGGAAAGCTCTCAGCCCGCTAACAGGAGTCAGGTAATCCTGTACTCACCTGAGTAAAACAAAAGAGTTTAAACAAATATCCAGAAGACTATTGATAATCACTTGAGGTCGGACGAAACAAGAGACTGATTTATAGTTAATAAGAACGCAGGTAAAAATGATCGTCTGGAAACTCGGTATTATAATTAAATTGTTTCAGAGCCATTTCTACCGAGCAGTTGGGAGGGAGCTTAGGGAGTCGCCGTGTGTGTTGGCTGTATGATGAGAATGATCACTAGATCATTCATGTACATGTGTAATAAATTTTAAATTTTGCCCCGAGGGGCGAGTTTATTGGGCAGCGCCACTCATCTTGTGAGTGGACATACCGCCATAGCAGCATGTATAACACTTCCCAATAGGAAGAAAACCCGCTGGGTTGTTCATCCTGTCACTTGTACCCAGACACAGCTGGGACTTGCTTAACTGTCTCAAGTGAACAGCTCCTCAAACAAGAAGATTAACATCTATCAACCCTTAAAAGCTTACGTTATCTTGCGGGTGCAAAATGGGGAAATCTTTTAAGAACAGTATCAATATTTGACAAATAGTGTTTTCGTAACTCAAACAATGTGGGGTTTATTATTCTACACAAACTTCTGATGTCTCTCAGGTGTTAACATTCACGTAGATAGTGGTCATGGTGGTGTCCATCACTCTCACCACAGATTCTGCAACTTCGCTGATCAACTGTACATGTGTAATGTACACATAAGTTACATACGGATATGGACACTAGCAAGCTTGTTTCCATATATATTTGTACAAATATTTATGAATTAAATCTGACATTTTTTTTCCAAACAATAAAACGGTAAACAAATATAATATACGAATGATTGTCTGACAACTTCACGTATTAATTAAGGCTAATTATCTCCTATACAACATCGCTTGATTTCGTCCAAGCATTTTGTGACATGACATTATATATGACCATTCATGTCTCTACAAAATCTGCTTAATGTAATGTCACAATAATACAATTAATCTACTAATTCAACAAGCACTATTTCTGAAAACAGATGTGAGCAAAAGCAATGCATCCACCAACAGAAACAAATGCAGGCAGCAACAGGATGCGGTGGTCGACTGTTGAGACCGGCTTGTCATCAAGGCGACGCCTCCAGAAGCTTACAATAATAATAACGCATATTATTCTAGCGATCAAGCAGGCGATCTTAGAGTATATATAAAGGACCCGGCCACCACTGCTACATGCATTCTCCAGCCGCTTCTCTTGTGGTGTTCATCTCTGTACAAGCCAGTTCTCTCCCTTGGTAAGTCTGTCAGTGATGTTCAGCTGTTCCTTACCATTAAGATTCTGTCTTTGAGAAATGACTCGCTGCCACAGGTGAGCTCTGCAGGTAACTTCTACATCTGAGGATAACAAGTTTTCATGCAAGTAAACATTGATTCTACAGGTGCGTCATGTCATTAACAGGTGCTGAACCTGTAAGTATTCCTGTGTGTTGTGACACACTGAAGGCGCGTTCCTGGGCTTCTCTCACGACAGAATCATTATAATGTACCAAATCGCTCACAATATGCAGGAAAACTAATATTATGACAAAGTTTTGTACTCTATTGAGGAGCTTTGTGTGGGTTAATAGACTATGTGTATTTAGTCTTATTCATGTTTATGTATAAATTTATTTAATCAGTGGAAATTGACAATAATATAATTTACTTTCAACATTAACTAAAACAAGAGACAAATGAGTGCAAATCTATTCTCTTAGTCACAAAACTTAACTGGTTTCCGATTGTCTGGAACATGAAGCCTGTTCGGGTTGTCGAGGTGCCAACGACTAGTGCCATAGCACTAGTCTTGGGCCAACGACTGACATTATACAAGATGCAACCCACAACAGTCGACTAACTCTCAGCGACTTGTTAATTGCTTGGTAAAACAAAGACACCAGGTTCCCTACAGAGGTCTGTAGGTCACGTATCCCCACACCTATCCTAGGTGTGGGGATACGTGCCCAAATGTTTAGCTCGGGTATTTAATTCTGAGCAAATCGATTGTCCAATTCGGTAGTCCCTATGGTGCAGTGGTAAAGCACTCGTCTGGTGCTTCGCTTTGAGAGCTTTGTCCTGGGTTCGTATTCTGGCCGGGGAGGATTGCCTAGGTGCCAATTCTTAACTACAGCCTCTGTTCACCCATCAGTGAATGGGTATCTGGTTGTTAAACGATTTGGCGAGTCGTTTTCCGGGAAAAAATAGGGTTAAGGACCTGCCCGAAACTCAATAAGTGCTATAGTGTCTTTACAAAAATGTAAGAACTCTTGTATATATTCATAAAAAATTAAAAGTTGTGAGACGACTGCGCTAAATATTGCAATTATTACCCAAATAGCTCCTAAAATATTATTAATGGGACCCAAAATATTACACTACCTGGTGGATACCAACGGGTCGTGTCGCTTTTGTAAACTTGATGAATAATACAAACTGTTAATAATGCAGAAGATGAATATCTATCCGCTGTGCTACTTGGCCTCCCTACGTAATCAGAGGAATGTAAAAGGCTACATCTGAAGGTCTTATCTCAGCCTTCCATGACACCATCACCAGCCAGTCTTTTCTAAACTGAAAACTTATTCCAGAGACCAAAGTTCCGCGGGAACACCAGAAGTCAAATTGGGGATTTTATAACCCGCATATTTCGTGTTTTGGGAACCCAAATGTGTTAGTCTGAGCAGTAAGGATGTTACAGTTATGAGGATCGTGTACAGTGAAAATTTATATTTAGTGAAATTGTGTTTGAAGTATACTGTTTGTGAACATGTGTGCCCTTTTGTGCTGATCATGTGGGCCCTTCAATATCCATGGATGTGATGTACAACAGACTTGTCTCCTGCGTTGCAATAGTTCTGCAATATTTGCACTGAAATATCCAATCAATTTTTCATTGTGACCTTCTGTCACCTGTATAAATGTATTCAAATTTATGTTACCACGACACGATATTGTTACTTAACTTCACCACACTAACTCATCGCTGCTCCTCCAACAGCTGCATCATGAAGCTGATGACATCTGTGTTAGTGACGGTGGTCCTGACCTTGCTGGTCGCCGGGACCTCTACCGCTGCCCCTGGAGACTTCCCCTTCGAGAGGTGCTTCAGTGGAACTCAAAAACAAGACCTCCGTAAGTTGATATTACATAGGAGGAAAAATTTAGCTAGCGGGTTAGCGGCTTTGCTTGAACGTAAATCAGTACGAACACTGTTGTGTGACTCGTTGTTACTGTGTAAATGTTTACAAAGGAAAATATAGTTGTCATGTAGAAAGCTTTAGCGAGAGAAGCTTGAGAATGCAGCGAGTGTGAGTGACATTTGGTAGTATAAAGTTGTCTTGCAGGAAATGTTAATGGAAGCATCACTAAGACACATCTTTATAATTTGATGAGGTGAAGAGCGGCTTCGTCCAGGTCTGAACTCGTCGGCTGCTGAGTATATTTATACAGCCGTGTGTATATTTAGGGTGTACAGAATGAGACATCAGGCTCTTTTGATGAGGTGTAGAGCGGCTTAGATCAGGTGTAGAGGCTCTTAGATCAGGGTGTAAAGGCTCTTAGATCAGGGTGTAGAGGCACTCAGATCAGGGTGTAGAGGCA